CTTTGTCTTGACAGCGGGTACAGATTCGGGAGTGGGGAGAAAGCGGGCTCGATTCTGCACATGTCCGCTTTCACTATATTTCGGTGCCAGTCACCGCGTCTGCCTTCAGATTGCAGATGGACATCGTCGAAGCCAACAGTCGAACGTACTGTGTTTAGTTAATCTCTTTCCATGTATGCTATTATTGCAATCTTACCATGAGTCAGAACTTATTATCCCTATGTCCTTTGTTTGTAGGTTCTCCTTATATAAAATTGCTTTTCTTTCCTCAGTCAGACTTCACGGAAACGGAAACAGAACATGCACACAATAATGTTCTGAATTTCCCGCTCACGCGCTGACTCACGTAAAAAAACGTACAGTAAAGTTCAACCGCTCTCTCGCTCTCTGTCCGTTTAACCTTATGCAAAACGAGCTTCAGCTTGTAGAAGATGTCGGTAAGGACTTACCTGAGACACTGACCAAAGGTCACGCCGTCCCCGATTGACGCACTTGATCTCCTCTTTTACAATGCCATCTGTTGTCCTGATTCGCTGGCGGAAACGCCTAGCGATGCGGTCGCTTATCCGACGCATTGTAATGATCTATGCCAAATTAAGATAGCGCATTACGTTGAGGTGAATCTTTCGGGAAACTCTGGAATCAGCGCAGTTGACAGCCGCCTGTGGAACAAGCGTTGGCACGCAGAGATGACATTCGTTAACGGCTAATATGCAAAATCATTGGGAGTTACTGAAAATATTTAGAGTCCTCTCCAAAGGGTTTTATTCTGTTTACTTTATGCCAGATCCCTTTCACACATCCATGTTCCAAGACAAAATACAGAGAGTATTGTACCGTTGGCAATGTCAAAAGCAACGCTTATTATATGTCGGCCTTTAAAGAAGAGACTACTCAAAATAGATTGTATTCTGAAACTGATTGCTGATGAGGACTTATGGTCTCCGGCAGCAACACAAGCTGTGACTAAAGCCTGCAGAATAAAAGATTAGTGAAGATTTTACTAACGCTTTATTATGTGCCTACGTGCGTAAGAAGGTGCATATGTAGCATAGAAGTACGCTTATATGCAGATTTTTCCATGTCAGTCATAGGCTCTACCTCTGGTCCTCTTAATTATGCGGAAAGTCCCTCGCAAGTTTACTAGTACTTAGAACGGATCCACGTGCAAGTCACTGTCCCTGGATCACCCCTGATGTGGAGCATATGGTGGACATCGACGATCGATCTTAGCCCGCGTCCTGTCCGAAATGAATGACAATATATTGTGCGCTATCGGCAATCCTGTTTGTGTATGGCTTCACATCCTATAAGTTTCTCGTGAGGCCGATATCTGAAAGATGTTTTTTTTATTTTCACCAATGTAACAACGGTCGGCGATATGGCGGGCCCCGACGAGTGATGGCCTATCTTCAAACATTCGTCAGTGCGTCACGCAGTAATAATGCGCACTTTTAACGTTGCGATTAACACCAACCCTTTCACATAAGTTAATATCAATGCTCAAGAAGACAATCGCAAGTTGATGACAGATGCAAGCCAAGAACGCATGCATTTTGCTAGTATTCCACCTACTAATGAGAGGCATCATGAAACCTGGCTTACA